CTACTACTCAATCTGTGGTATAGTCTATTACTGTTATAATCTATCGGTTACTATTAGATATTGTTGATAGTTAACCGATAAGATCAATACTCTATTTCTGAAATAGTTTAGTATCTTTCTTTACCTAGTATTGTAGCTGCTCGTGTTCGAGGGTTTTCCAGGGGTTCTGCAATGTCTGATAATTCGGGTAGTAGTGTACTGTATTCTATATATTCTTTGCTATCGAGGGCTACTAACTCCTGTGTCCAATAGCTCCCAGCAATCCCGGGTAGCCTAAGTATCCAAACTGTGTGTGCGAGTCCTGTACTAGCTTGTCACACTCAACCGGTTCAAGATAAGGGATAGCCGTCTCTTCTGAATACAGGAATAGCTTCGAGCTGTGCTCTTCTCTAGCTTTTATAAGTAGAAATCTATTACTGTACTATCAAACTGTCTTCGCTAATCGAGAATTATCAGGTAGTGATCCCTCTTTTAGATAGTAAACTATTACCTGTCACTATTTATTCTTGTTAAGATTTCCTATACAGATTAGGATCTCTTTTACCGGCGCTCCGATCAGTATATTTAGTTATAGTATAGAATATTTTGTAATATTGACAGGGCCTTTTTTAATAAAGTTAGGCCTTCTACTCAATATATCAGATACTATTGTCTCTTTTCTTTTATAATACTGAATTTTTAGGTTGTACTCCTGAAACTCCTCGACCCAGCGGGCAAGACGTTTAGAATATATCTTTGTAGTATTCAGATACTGCAAGCTATTATAATCAGTTATTACTGTAGTAGTAGTATTGTTCTCGATATAGTATTCCTATACTTAAATTATTTCCTTAATTATAAGTAGTTCCTTCTCCTGTACCGAGTAGTTTTGCTCGGCGGAGTTCAGTTTCCGGCTGTCAAATACTATTAAGTAAAGTTTCTCGTTTTCTTCCTCCTGGAGTAGGACCATCCCTATAGCCTATTCCGACATATCTGTTTTGATGTGAAATGGCTTCTGTGTATCTACTATAGCTAATACTGGTGCTAATATCAGTGTCTCCTTGAGCTTCCGAAAGACAAGCTCACATACTGCCGACCACACGATGGGGCGATACTTGTTAGTTTGTTCCACTATGTCTCCCTCTTTCAGAAGTTCGTGTAGCGGTGTTATAGTCTTTGTAAATAATTATACAAAGTGGCGATAGTATATTGCGAGTCCTAAGAACTGCTGTACTTCGTGTATATCTTTTAGTTGTGGCCAGTCCTTAATAATATCAAGCTTCGCTGGCACAGGTCAGATACTGTCTTTGCCTACAATATAGCCGCAAAATTCTAGCTCTTCCTGGAAGAATAAATATTTACTAGATCGTACATACAATTCTTTTTACCGTAGTATATCTAAGATAGTGCGGAGATGTTTCTTATATTCTTCTTGTGATTTCGAGAAGATAAGTATATTATCCAGATACACTATATAGAATATTTCTATATATAGTACTAATATCCGGTTCATCATTATCTAAAAGGTCGCGGGTGTATTATATAGCCTGAAAAGTATAGCAAACTATTTAAATTTACCGAAGATTATGTTGAATACTGTCTTTGGTATCGACAGTTTGTTGATCCTGACCTGCCAATATCCGGACAGAAGATCGATCTTAGATAGGTATTTGGCTTGGCCAACTATATCGATAAGCTCTTAAATTTGCGGCAAGGAATAGCTATTCTTCTCGGTTACTTTGTTCAATGTGTGGTAGTCGATATATATTTACTATTTCCTATCAGGCTTCTTTACAAGAATCACAGGAAATCCCTATACAGAAGCGGAGGGTTGTATTAGTCCTACTTCGACTGTGGCTTTTATCTGTGTCTTAAGCTCTGCTAGCTTTTCTGGCAACAAAGGATAGGTGTTAATATTAATAGATGGTATATCACCTGTATTGATTTTATAGGCTAGTCCCCGTTTCGGTAGTAGCTTTGTTGGTAGTTACTCTCAGAAAATATTGCTATACTCGAGGAATATTAACTCTATATTTACTGTCTCTCTGCTATCTGGGTCTATTTGGTTGGTAGCTCTTATAAAGAAGAGCTGTATCTTATCTCTTCTCTTCCGGATTGCTTTGGCGGCTGCTCGAGCTGATATAAAATTTAGGGATTCTCCGTCCACCTGTACATAGCGCCTTGGGTCAGCAGGCCGGATCTTGTGGGATCTGCCCTTGCTGTCCTGTAGCGTCATCTCAGATATCCGCCAGTCGATATAAGGGTTGAGGTCTCGGAGCCAGTCGCAGCCAAGAATAAGATCGTATTTTTTTAGCTCGATAGCCTATATATTAATCCTCTTTAGCTATTCTCCTAACTGTAGCAGTAAGCTATAGATACTACTAGTTTCTAGGAGATTCCCATTAGAGAGTTTTACTTCGAGAGATACTCTAGCTTGTCTCTATAACCAAGGTCTGTCTTGTGCCAGGGCCTGTGCTACAAAGATATAACTCGCTCCTGAATCCACGAGGATTTGTATCGCGTATCGTGTTGAGCCGTGCCCTATTGCTTCTTTATAGCAGGACATAGTATCTTCTAAAGTATATAGATAACTGTTACACTTAGATTTTATTGTCTGGATAACTATTTCCTCTGAGTCCTTGCTATCTAGAGGATCTGGGGTTTCGGACCAATCTATATCCTTTAGAAAGGCTTGTTTTATTTGGTCAACTAGTATTTTTTTGTCTAGCGACTATAGTCTTCCCCTGACGCGTTCTTCCTTAGCCTCAACTTACAGTGTCTGGCAATATATCTCTTTTTATAACAGTAAAAGCACTTCAGTATCTCTTCAGGACCGCTGCTACGGTTAGGTCCCTTACTATTCTGTCTAGTAGGGTACTGATTGTCTATTCTATATATAGTATTTAAGTCCATCGGCTCTGTCTACCGATTATCGACTTTCGTCGCTCCACCACTATCTTGGTTAGGGCGGTAGATGTAGCTGGATATAATCTTGCTCTGTTTATACTGGACAAACTTCTTCACTACTGTATTAAATATTGTAGGAGGATTTTCTTTCTCGGCTTACTTAGCCTGCAGAATTTTCTTTGCTCGCACTACGAAGTAGTAAATACAGATATCCTCTGAGAGTGGGGATAAGATACGGGTCGCTGTATCGGTGTAGGTACTAGTGTATACCTGCACAGATCTTGTCCCTTGATAGCAGTTATTATAGGCTTCCCAGTATTTAGTTATCCCGTGATACTCGCTGAAGTTAGTACAGACCCACTCCTTCAGCTGTTCGAGGGTGATAATAGGATTGTTGTCTTCTGCTATAATACACTGCTCCTTTACTTTCTAGTATTCTTGTGCAGCTCCGGTAAATTTCTATTTAGTAACAATTACTTTCTCTATCTCAGTAGCTTCTTTCTGCGCAAGGATTTGTTTATTCTCAAAGTATTGATTCACTTATTGTAGCTATTTGTCCGTGGTGTTGTTCTCGAAATAACTGTTATACTTAGAGATCTATTCGAGGTCGAAGATTTTCCGGTAGGAATACTTGCTTCTCGCTGCTGCTGCTTTATCTGTCAATATAGTCCCTCCTATTATTATAGTTAGAGTGGTACTACCAGGGATATTTATCAATAGAGGAGTTTATAGGGCTATAGGTAGTATAGCCTATGCTACCGTACGTTGTGCGAGTTCATTTACAATCCGTTAAGCTGTTTTTTCTGCTGCCTGTCAAGTAGCGAGTATCGCCGCCTGCTGTACTGCAGCTTCTGCGACTTGTGCTTATTGTTCTACGGATTTTATTTACTCTTCTACCGATATTCACAATGTTTCGAAGACTGCCAGGGCTATCTTGTTGCTGATAGCTCCTTTCGTTTGCTCGAGTAGCTGTGGAAGGTTCAGCTGTTACAAGAATTGTTGTTGTTACTCGGCCATTTCCTTAGGGCTCTCAGGTGTAGCGAATTCTGTTATTTTTTGTCGGATTGTTCAATCGACGGGGTCTCCCTTTCTCAGTTATATACTACTCTTTATAGATAGCTCGACCAGCGAGGCTACTTAGCTCCTTGAGATCTATTATGTCTCACTGCGACCTACGGAATCTAACCGAGTGTCGTGAGGCTATACTGGGCAGAGAAAACTCTGTCTCCGAGTTCGGATATACTACCAGATAAGATTGCAAGTAGCGGTATACTATAAGAGATAGAGAGTTGCCGATCTCCTACTAAAGGTAGGGGTCGCTACGTCCTTTATATACACAGGGTAGTTAAGCACCGTAGGGTTAAGCCCGTGGTGCAGTCACTAGGGCCGTAGCTAAAGTGAAAGGCTCCCTCACGTAGCTCTGTAGTACCGTTACCTCAGTGTAGCTGCGATCACATAAGACCAGTTTTATATTCTCTTTATAAGAGACTGACTCTCTTTCTGTTTCTATTTCTGCTGTATTATTCATGTTTACTAATTTCCAAATAATAAATGCTAAGTATGCATGCAGCAAACAAAGACACAAAAACTAGGGTCAGTTAGAACAAAGAAAGCAAACTGTACTATTATAATATAGATAATATTTGTCTTATAAATCCTTCCAGGTTTCTTCTTTGATATTTATAGCACCAGCACAAGGTTAAAATATCCAATGTCCCTTTACGCTAATATCCTATTACCCCTTTGGAGAGAATATCTCACGTTAATATAAACGAGACTGGAGCATAATTATATATCTCAATTATAGGGTTAGGAGGTGGACCAGAGTCATATATATCCAAAAAAGAAACATGACAATGGAAGAAAGCACAGATTACGAATAGAGTCAGAGAATAATATATCCGTCGTACTAAGATTCTTTTGAAATATTCTATCGTCTTCTTGTCTGCCTCTTATCTGCTGTCAGGTTTGCTGACGTCATAACGATCCCATTCCTTGTTTTCTAAAAGAAAAATAAAAAGAAACTTAAGCCATATTCCTCTCGGCATTTTGTTCCCCCCCCGGATAACGTAACTTTCCAGATATTTCCTAATATTTGGCTATATTCTTCTAGTTCCGACAATGCAGCCATATTGGCAAATTGGTACGAATCCTAGGCTTTCTTACTGATTCACATTATCTGATAAATATCAAAGAACAGAGCCAAGGAATTAAACGGCTTGTTATCACACAAAGCAAAGACTACAATGACAATTATGCGCCGCTCCCCAACACTATTCAATGAGTACAGCAATGCTATGAGCCTATATACGAGAGTTCAGCTAGCGACAGTTATGATACTAGACTTAATAGTTCTTAGAGCAGCAACAATAGTGCTTAACGTTACTTATACGCTATCTCAGGAAGCAGCTACCGCAAGCTATAATTTAGTATGCGGGTTTCCCGAAACTGGTCCTCGGAAAGTTTTGATCATGAACAGTATAAGTGTGAAGAGTGGGTGTATTCCTTACTTGTATCAGCCTTTTGGGAGATAGTATGAAGATTATAGTGGGGGGGATAGTACTGCTGCTCGAGTAGTTCCACGCGTGGTAGAAACCCTGAGAATGGTCTGGTGGGTGGCATTGATTTTTTATATTGAATGTCTTTGTATTACTGTCCTAGTAGAAAATATTTCTATTTGATAGTAAGCTCGATATGGTTATATCTGGGTAAAAGTAATACCCTAGCAGAAACGACAATAGTGGTATACCCCACTAAATTGCTGTAACTAAGCTTGTGATCTCTTTCTACTAAACCTGATATAAGTATTATATAAGGTTCTTCTGAATTGAACTTAAACAGAAATAAATGTTAAAAAAGTATCTATTCTAAACTGTTTCTTCTGGTTTCTGCATCCTATTTGTATTGTCGATTGGTTGGTGCAGAGGACTATCTATTATTTCCGGAATTTGGGATTTCTTGCCACTAAAGCTCTTGTTTGTATCTCTGTTGGCATTACTGGTGTTAGGAACCGGGGTATAAGGATAAGAAATGCTATCATATATAGGATGGGTTGTGCCAGTTTGAATTGCACCTTTATCAGTTACTCTATCGGCTGTAGAGAGAGCCAAATCACCCGAATCAAAGTACCCCCGTTTCTTTTACTTGTCAGTAGCTGACTTGGGCTGCCTTATCAGAAATATACTCTAGACTGCCGTCTGAGTAGTCTTCCATGAGGCAGCCTATTATAAAGGCGGAGGCGGTGTTTCTTATTCTCGGAGAGAGTCTAGTAATATATTAGCCCAATGCGCTATATCTCAATGATCCTAGGGAATTGTCTAACCTGCGAGTGGGTTTCTTTATCCTGTTTTGCTTCTATTATGATTTGTGTTACGTACGTAGGTTATTTTGTTAATAGTGAAGAACAAAGAATGATGTATATTAATATATTGAACTATATTTATTGCTACTTGATATAAATGTCTGCGTTTAGCCCTATGGATGAGAGCCGCCCAACTGAATTATTATGTTATTATTTTATTACTTGTCTTCCTATCCATAGAACGTTAACCCCTTTAGAGTTAAAAATAGGAGGTCACATATCGGGGCCTGAAAGATAGAAAAGTATTTTTTAGAATACTTGTATGAATTAGTCACTGTATCGTATTAAATTAGGTGTATTGAGAAAGTGATATATAAATTAAGTTTATAACAGTTCCTATAGACCTAAGTATCTTGTTATTTTGTCAATGTTTATATTTATTGGATATATATGACTCTCGGATTACTAGTTCTCAACGGCAACTCTTGGAGTAGCTTCGATTGGGGCAATATTAATCAGCCGAAAGAAAAAAAACAAGACAGAAATAACTAAGGGTGTAACAGTATATGTACACTATCAAATTTTTAACTTCTAAAAAGAAAATAATTCTCAGGTTATATATTTGTTGTTCCGACTGAGAACTATTTTGGAGAGTGCCCAAGGTTCGCTCCGAAGGAGAGAATGCTAGAATTAAATATTATAATATGTCCACTGATAGCTCCCCTATATACTTTGTGTCACATTTTACCAAATCTTACGGCGACTGAGATACTAAATAATATTTCCAAGTCGCAGAAAAAGTAATAACTCTTTGAGTAATAATAGTCCAAGAGAACCACTATAGCTTAGGAAAGTAAATAGATCCTATCCGAACTTTTATTTCAATATATCTATAGATTTATAGCTTAACTGAAAAAAACTTCGCAGTAATAGTAATCTATTCAACAAAATTAATGCCAATGACAATAATCAGGTAGATCCAACTGCAGATCCTCGAAGCCCTGCCGCCACTGCTGAATATGCGGATTATTACTATGAATTTCTTAATGAACTGGTGGACTCAATACAAAATAAAGATCAAGTAATGGTAGCTTGTATTGTTGGTCTTATACAATCTGGTGTATCTTAGTATAAGATTCTTGGGGCGATCCGGAGCGCAAATAGTTAGTACAAAAAAAGAGGGTATTCGCTACGGTTCTGTGTATAGAACTGTCTAGTTGTATCTGTATCTGCCAGTGGTATTCCTTTATAACGACGATCAAGTCTCGATTCAAAATAATACAAAACAGCTAGCTATTGTGCCGAGATCTTTATAAATTCCTATCTATACCCCACTTCGACACCCAAACAATAATCTATTATAGGAACTATTCGATTAATGATTTTTGTTTCAATAAGACTGTCAAAATATTTCTAGAAAGGACCGTTCTTGTATCAGAGTATATGATAAATATAGACAATTCCTAACTATTGAAACTGCGGCCCTCGTGGCGCACGGCTTTGAAATCTCTGATATACTTCTGTGTTGTCCAGTACCGCACTAAAGTGCTATTGTTCTACGGGGTATCTCGTAACCTATCTTTCTTACTTTGATCAGCTTACCCCAGTATTTTTGAGATGTTGTTGAATGCTTTTCTAAACTTGTATCGTAGTTCCTGGCACAGTCTGTTCAGCCGCGGATAGTCATGTGAGAAAGACTTGGGGTAATTGTTGTTAACTGTGTTATTATTTTTTAGTAGGGAAGTTCGTGACAGTGTCTATCGGAAAAACTTACTAAATAGGATTAGTGTGCTTGGGGCTTCCGAAATTCTCGGAGTATAAAATATTTATGTGGTTTTTGCAAGTAGCTGTACTCAGTTAAGTATTATATATATAGTTTGTAAAGTTTTTGTACTAAAGAAAAGTAAATCATATTCTGTATATAAAGATTCGACTTTGAGCCTTCCGAGGCTTAAGATACTATGGCTATTTGAGTAATCTTACTTGGGTTAATATATATTTTCAATCTGTTTATATCCTGATTAGTTTTTATAGCCTTTTATCCTATTTTTCTCGGAATCAAACGAGTAATTTAAACAAGTAGTTATAAGGAAGATTGGCCCGGGTGCGCCTATAGTATAAGTAAAGGAATTGTAAATATTCTTCGGTATCGGTAAGCTTTTATAAGAGCAATTTTGGTATATAACTTCTAGGAGTATAGTATTGAAAGCTGCTTTCTAATTGACATTTCCTTGAGAAATTTTGGAAGGAATAAATGCTACATAGTCAGACTGAAAATATAATTACTTTTTAATGTTATATATATTTCTATATTTCTATATAAATAGAAAAGAATGAGCTGAGGGCTTCTAGAAGATATAGATTAAAATCTCTCTGTCTTAGGTAATATTATTGTCTTTATTGTGTGAGCCTACGACCATTACTAAGAGGACTCTCATATAACTATTCTATAGCGCAATCGTCTTCACTATTGTCTATATAATGATTGTTCTCTATATCACTGTTTAGATCTATATGGATTTTGGTTCCTTCCCACATAATTCCGGTCGGTCCAATTTTGGCGACGAGAACCTTACCAAGTATCAACCCCCCCCCTCCCTACCTAATCGCCTTAATAAAAACACCAGGCTATATAGATATAGTTTACTATCACTTTAAAGCGTTCAACAAAACAAAAGCTCGGCAGACAATAAAAAAAAATAAAGCCCTCGACTAAATACCAACAGAGATTATCAAACTTCCAGTTATATCAACTGGTTTTTACCTGTCGGTCCCTATATGACAAACTGCTCGGATTTAAATACATTATTAAGATACGTAATTGGGCCGGTGCTTTAAATTGAGGACCTTTAGCAAGTATAGTCAACTGTTTTACAGAGTATACAATACAAATATCAATTTAAAATGCCCTTTACAATATGTTATCTGTCCCTAGTTTTGATATCTTACCAATATTACGCTTCCTCCTCAACAGGTCCCCAGTGAGGTGGTTCATCTAAGATTCTGATAGCGGGCCAAAGCATATCCAACTTGCTGGTAAAGTATAACAAGGACCACTATACAGGCCAGACAGTCTGTCAACTAGTTAAGATAAGAGAGAGAGGAAAACCGTATATTATTGACAGTTGTATAAGAAGTACTAATAGACTAATTTTATCTCTTTTGCTTTTTTTGATGCCAGTTTTGGATAGCTTAGAGTACTCATATATTTGATTAAGTTCCTGCATCTCAAAAAGAACCTATCTGCCAGATAAACTTTCACCGGGCCAGATCAAGATCGCGAGATGGGTAGCAATGAGTATGAACTAGAGGTGTTTAGGGGCCGGGAGAACTGTATAGCCCATGACCGAATCTATCTGTGAGAAGAAAAAGGAAGGTTTTTTTTTTATATCCTATTCTTCTCTTCTTTTTTATTTCTTTCTTTTGCCTTTTTTTTTTTTTCTCTATTAATCTTTGGGCTATGTTTGGAATTAGCCTATTATTCGTTTAATTATCTCTTTCCAACTTTTCCCTAGGCAATCGATATCTATTAATAT